CATCGAACACTGCCAGGACAGGGATAGTATGGAGTTCGATACAGAGTAAAACTCTCGCTGTACTGTTCTCATCGAACACTGCCAGGACAGGGGCAGCACAGGGTCAAGTCCCATCTACATTGTCCCAGTCAAACATTCCTAGGACAGATACGGCACAGGGTTGGTACTGAGCAAAGCTCCATAAGAAGTCTGTGAAGTATAGGTAGAAAAGTGGCTGGGTTAAATTTGAAAAACTTACTTTAACAGTGGGTAGGATGTGGGTCATTATAATCTGCTGCTGTCCCTCTGTGGGCAGATTCTCACAGAAATCTGAAAGAAACAGTGACTCAATGATGAACTTGAACCCTGATTCATTATAATCCTACCTCATATGGCTACATAAAGCAACTGAATAACAAACAGTCAGGTACAGATGATGTCAACGGCCTGCATTCAACATCAAGGAGCACATTCGACAAAAGATTTTGGGTCCAAAACACCACATCATAGACTTTAAGGTGCACATTTCCAGTGCCAGTGGGGAGGGCCACGCTGTCGGAGGGTTAGTACTGCGGAAGTGCCACTTTACTGCAGGGGTTTTGCAGTTTCTTTCAAAGCAGTAAACTTGATGTGCAACCTGACCTTTGATCTTGTTGGCAGCGGATGCCCGCACCTCAGCTTCACAGTCTTTCAGCAGGTTCTGAAAGGCTGGCACCAGGTCCTTCTTGGTAATCTCTGGCCCGATGGCTTTCTGCAACTGTTTGAGACAACACAAAGAGTCATGGCAACCGGGAGAAGGATAAGGAAGAAGTGAAAAGTACAGCTTTTAAATCTCAATCTCAACCTTGTCCATTCTCCTCCCCATAAATGAATGGGTTAAATCACCAGGATGGGTCACGACGTCAGGCTCGTGTTTCGTGAGACAGATCCCAAGTGGAGTGACTGGGTTCAGTTCTGAACTGCGTAGCTCTGGAGGGAAAGAGTGGACTTGGAAATGGAGGTGATGGAGAAGGATGAGAAGGAGGTGGGGGTAACAAAACCTCTGGGGCTGAGAGGGGCTAAATCCCACGCACAAATCCTGGGCTTGTATTCACTATTGAGGAGTGATAGAATTTTTCAAATTATTTTTTATTCGTTCACGGGACATGGGTGTTGCTGGTTGGACCAGCATTTATTGCCCATCCCTAATTACCCAGCGGGCAGTTAAGAGTCAACCACATTGCTGTGGGTCTGAGTTTCACCAGCACTTTCTGTGCTTGTTTGTTTCAGATCTTCAGCATCCACCGTGCTTTTAGTGGACGTACTTGGAAGACACAATCTATAGTGTTATCCTGCGTAGATTTGAGCCTGCCTTGAGATTGATATTTAAAAGCCTTCCCTATCCCCCTTGCCCAGTTCTTTCCCATCTCCTTGTTTGTGATAAAAAAACGCAACAAATACGGAGTACGGTGGTAAGGAAGGATAAAATGTACGATTCAAATAAGTTTCCAAAACTTCACGTATCAATGAATTTTTTTGAAGAAATAAAGGAAATTGGGGTGCTTAAAAAAAATCCCAGTGTTTTCCCACCTGCTAGATTCCTTGCAACATTCATGTCAGAATGAACAAAAAGGTTAAGTCACTACAGACCCACTCCCATTAGAGAGGGAGAGAGATGATGGTGGTGTTTTAACCTGAGGGTCACTGCACCTCAGGAGAGGGGACAGGTTGAGCAGGTAAGTTCAGTCGGTGTGGAAATTGTTGAGGTCAAATTTAAAACAAATGTCAGGGTCACTCTGCGTTTTTTTTAAAATTCACTCCTAATTACGCAGCGGTCAGTTCATGGTAAACCACATTGCTGTGGGTCTGGAGTCACATGGAAGCCAGACTGGGTGAGGATGGCACATTTCCTTCCTTAAAGGATGTTAGTGAAGCAGAGGGGCTTTTACAAGTGTAGTGATTGGAACCAGGTAGATCTCATTGACAACGAGGTCCTTGATTTGCGTTGTTAACCAGGGCCAATCAGGAAACTCTGGCTGACCAATGGATTCATGGTCATCACGAGACTCTTAATTACAGGTAGCTTTTGGGCTTTTTAAATTTGTTTTTTGATTGTTGGTTTTAAAATTATTAGACAGTTGAAACTGCTCGAATATCTCCACTAGTAGTGGAGTGAAGGACTTCTCCATGTAAAAGACCAGATATATCAAACACACCTCACTTAGTAAATTACTGAGGCCAGGAGAAGTCAAGTGAGGTGTTTAAGGGCTAGGGGGAATAAGGTTAATGGAAACCAGCAGGATAGACGGAGTAAAGATGTAGTTCAGTCACAATCTAATTAGTAGATTTGTGAGGGCTGCATGGGCCTCCTCCCTATCCAGTGTAGCAGACTCAAGGAGGGGGCTGAATGACCTCCTCCTGTTCCTGTGTAACAGGCTTTAGGAGGGGCCTGAAATGGCCTCCTGCCCCTGTGTAACAGGCTCGCTGGGGAGGGGAGGTTTGGTACACCAACTCAGATCTTTCATCCTGCCACCAGCCCACGCCTGGCGTACCTCAGTAAATTTGTCCGCCACCATGTAGCGCACGCGCCAGGATTTGTCTTCCACCGCCTGGTGCAGGGTGGGCATCACCAGCTTCTCCACCTCGTCGCGCTTCAAGAGCTGGGCGATACTCACACAGGCTTCGACCGCCAGGAGCCGCACAGAGTCCTGTGAAGGAAGGCACAGATGCAGTGGGGTCAACAGTAGCAACATCTGGGAAGCAGCTGGCCACATTCAAGCGTCTCGCCATCATGTTGTTGGCTGTGGAATATCAACACTTGCTGTGGACGGTAACGGTCTCTTTCCCCGAGTACGGTGATACTTATCAAAGAGGGTGTGCAGCAGACGTTCGCTGGACCGGTCTCTGGGAATGGCAGGTTTGACCTGTGGGAGATTGAGGAGACTGCGCCTGTACTCTCAGGTGCTTAAGTGACTGAGAAGTGATTTTTGAAACATTGTGCCAGGACTCAGAGTTGATGGAGGAAGATGTTTCAAAAAAGACCAAAGAACAGTGGATGCCAAAAATCAGAAACAAGAACAGAAACTGCTGGAAAAACTCAGCAGGTCTACAAGCATCTGTGGAGAAACAGAGTTAATGTTTCGGGTCCAGTCTGGAGGATGGTACTTGAATCGAAGCATTAATTCTGCCTTCTCTGCACAGATGTTCCTAGACCTGCTAAGTTTCTTCAGCAATTTGTACTTTTTTTGAGGAAGTTGTTTCTTCTGACTGGCAGGAAGTGTCAAGAAACAAGGGACGCAGTCTTAGAATAAGACTGAACCATACAGGGCTGGGACTAACAGGAATTTGTTCCCTCAGAAGGTGGTGAAGTTCTGGAATTCTGTAGACCGGGAGGGTTATGGAGATTGGATGACTGAGTATGTTCAAAGGATAGTGCCAGAAAATGGAATTGAGCTAGCAGGTCAGCTATGATCTACTGAACCATTGAGAAGGCTTGGGGCCAAATTATCTATTCTTGCTCCTTTCCTACATTCCTAGGTATACTGCTGGAAATTTATGCTCAGCTTAAAAGCAGTCTATTCTTTCAAACTGCTAGGTGCAATTGTTCCTCCTCCCTAAGGAGCCTCCTTTGATCTCCTCTTCATCTAACTTATTCACACACCCTTCTATCCTGTTCTCTCTCTTGTAGGTCACAAGATGAAGGAGCAAAGATAGGCCATTCTGCCCATCGAGACTGCTCCAACATTCAACGATATTATGATGGAACTGATAATTCTCAACTCCACTTTCCTGACTTTTCCCCATAATCCTTGATTCCCTTCCTGATTAAAAAATCTGTCTCTCTCAGCCTTCAATATGGTTAATGATCTAGACTGGACAGCCCTCTATGGTAAAGAATTCCACAGATTCACTCCCCTCTGAGAGAAGGAATTCCTCCTCATCTCTGTCTTAAATATTTCACCCTTATTCTGAGACTATACCCTGTGGTCCTGTATTCTCCCACATGAGGAAATAACCTTTCCAGATCTATCTTGTCAAGTCCCCCAAGGAACTTGTATGTTTCAATAAGGTCACCTCTTATTTTTATAAACTCCAGCAAGTACAGGCCCAATCAACTCAACTTCTCCTCATAAGACAGTCCCTTCATAACTGGCATCAGGTGAGTGAACCTTCTATGGACTGCCACCGATTCCAGTATACTTTTCCTTAGATAAGGGGCTCAAAACTGTTCATAGTATTCCAGCTGTGGTCAGACTAGACTCGTGTACAGTTTTAGCAAAACTCCCCCAACTTTTATACTCAATTCCCTTTGATTTATATTCAATTCCCTTCCATTTACCTTTCCTGTTACCCACTGAACCTCTATTATCAACATATTATTTATGTGACTGGAGGATCTGTACTGAGGGAGCACTGCAGTGATGAAAAGTCAAAACTGAGGGAGCCCTGCAGTGTTGCAAAGTCAGTATGAAGGGAGGGCTGCATTGTCAGACAGCCAATAAAGAGAGAATGCTACGACATCAGGCAGTTGATACTGAGGGATCATTGCACAGCAGGAGGATCAGTACTGAGAGGGACACTGTCAGAGGCTCAGTACTGAGGGAGTCTGCACAGGCGGAGGGGCACGTTTGAGGGAACTTTGCACTATTGGAGGGTCTATACCAAGGAAGCACTACAATGTCGAAGGGTCGTTACTGAGGGAGTGCTGAATGTCAAATGAGCAATTTTGAGTGCCTCCATCTGCCCTCTTTGCTTATACTTAGTGGAGCAGGAGGAAGATTTCCCCCTTGTTTTGGGCCAATATTTATCTCGCACAAACAATCATGAAGAAACAGATGATCTGGGGGGTCTATGGAACTGGCATTCTATGATCCGAACCGTTACCGCGTTGCCACTTGTGGAAGTTTGCTTTGCACATATTGGCTGCTCTCTTTCCTACAACAGTGGTCACACTTCAAAACAAAAGTTCTTCAGTGACTGTGAAGACCCTGAAGGTGGCTAATGGGCATACTGCAAAATCTTTCCTTGCTTTTGATTTTGACTTGGCAAAGGTATATCAGCCTCTTGACCCATGTCTTGCCCTCGGGGAGGGAGTTAGCCGCCAGGTACCTGCTCGTCAGAGGCCAATGCTGTGAACATGGGGAGAACCTCGGACTTCAGGTTTTCCAGCTCCAGGACCTTGGCAAACTCGCCCAGCTTTGAAGCAGCAGCTCGGCGCACCATGGGAGTGTCATCCGCGCACAGATTCTTAAAGTTCCTGCAGGTGGGAGCGGTGAGGAGATGGGTGGAGGTAGGCATGAGAGGGAGGAGGAGGAGAAGCAGGAGACACCGCACATCATAGGTGGGCCAAGTTTCAGGATTTGAAATAGAGCAAAGAAACAAGCCACGTTGAAAACACACAATTTGCCCCTCGTACAAAACAAACATACCTACGTTCGAAACAGAACAACATTTTTACACAAAAAGTAGAGGGCTGAATTATTATTTAGATTTTTGAGGAGGTCTTGTGGGTAGGGTCCCTTACTCAAAGCCAGAAGATTTGATTTTGAGTCCCATTTGATGTACAAGAAAGGTCTTAATGCAGCCACACCATTTGAGGACAACCTACTACTCTTTCTAATACTTGCCATTTGCAGAGTAAATTCCTCATCAGCTCAATCAGTTGGATGTCAGATTGGTACCGAAAGCACGAGATTCGATCCCTGTTCTGAACAGGATGGATTCAGGGCTTGTCGCCCTCGTTGGAGGGATGGGGTGGGGGGCTGGGGGTCACAGGGTTTGGTTTGAGCAGGGAACTCAAGGAGAACAGCAGGGCATTTTTGATGGCTGTAATCCATGCCTGTCCTTGGGAACAGTCAGTAATGAGACAATTTCTGCTGCTGCTGGCCTTGGTCCTGAATCCAGCATACACAGTTCTCCCAGCCTGTTTGTTTTTGAGCGGTTTATGTGAGAAAAGTGGTGGGGAAGCTTCTAAAAACAATTATTGGGGGCGGAATTAATCATTAAATGGAAAAAATGTGAGCATTTAGGAAGAGCCAGCAGAGGTTTCTTAAGGCAAATTATGTTTAATTGACATGCTGGAGTTTTCTTTTAAGAGGGGTAACAAAAAGGGCCAGTGAGAGTAATGCTGCTGATGAGGTGTACATGGACTTTTAGAAGGCTTTCGACACAGTGCCACACAACAGACTTGTGAGAAAAGTTAAAGCTCATGGAATGAAAGGACAGTAGCAACATGGATACAAAATTAGCTGATTAGCGGATAGTTTCCCATGGATAGGAAAAGGACAGAAATGGTCAAAAATTATCTTTCGGGTTGGGAGAAGATTCGTAGAGAAGTTCCCCAGGAGCCAGTATTGTGACCCTTCCTTTTCCTGTTATATATTAATGTTCTAGATCTTGGTGCACAGGGGGCTATTTCAAAGTTTGTGGATAGTACAAAACTTGGAAACACTGTAAACAGCGAGGGCGACAACGTTAAGTTCCAAAAGGACATTGATATGAGCAGTTAGTGGCAGATAAAGCTCAGTGTGGAGCAGTGAAAGGTGGTCTATTTTGGTAGGATAAACATGTATAGACAATATAAAATAGGGGCACAAGGGGCTGCAGAAGTAGAGACCTCGTCTAAGGTGGCAGGACAGGCAGACAGAACAGTTAGTAAAACTTAGAGGTTTATTAATTGGGAAATAGAGGAATGCTGAACTTATTAATTCAGCTGTCAGGACACAAGTGAAGTGTTGTGTACAGTTCTGGATGCCACATTTTAGGAAGGATGTGAACACCTTGAAGAGAGTTGAAAAGAGACTTACAAGAATGTTTCCAGGCATAAGAAACTTCAGTTATGAGGATCGATTGGAGAGACTGGGACTGTTCTCCTTGAAGAGAAGAAGGCTAAGCGATCTTATAGAAATTCTAGAAATCATGAGATCTAGATAGAATAAATTAGGGGAAGTGATTCTTGTTTTTAAAGGATCAAGAATGAGAGGGCACAGATTGAAAGCGATTTCCAAATGTGGTAAATGTGATATGAGGGGAAAAAAAGGCATTTTCACAAAGCAGGTAGCTCAAGTCTGGAATGCACTAGCTGAATAGAAAAGTTCAAGGATGTGGGGAAAATGCAGAGGAATGGCACTGAGCTTTAATGATCATTGGGGACCTGGTTAGGACACAATAATCTAAATGGCCTCCATGCAGCACTGCAACGATTCTGTGTTCAGCAACTTTGAGTACAGAAAAAGCTCATTCATCTCATTGGCTTTGTGCCAGTTATTTAGGATTCCTTCCATCCCCTTGTCAACATCCTCTCCATCACCATCTCCTTCCCTCGCTTTCTCCCTCATGTGTTTATCTGGCTTTTCCTCTTCAATACATCGCACAATTCATCTCGACCACTCCTTATGAGAGTGAGTCCCACATTGTTCCCCCACTCCCTGTGGGAGTGTGTTCCAAATTCGCGGCCCCCCCCCCCCCCCCCGGGGGGGCGCGTTTCCCCTTTCCCCCCCCCACACCCTGTGGGAGCATGTCCCTCATTCTACCCCCCAATCCCTGCGGGAGAGAGTCTCACATTCATCCCCCACTCCCTGTGGGAGTATGTTCCAAATTCTCCCCCACCACCCCCAGTCCCTGTGGAAGCAAGTTTCACATTACCCTCCACTCCCTGTGGAGTTAGCCCCACATTCCATCCCCACTCCCTGTGGGATCAAGCCCCACATTCTCCCCACTCTCCGGGGAGGAAGAGGTTTCTCCTGAATTCTTTGATGGGATTTATTAGGGACTGTCTAATAATAGTGGCACTGGGTTCTGGTCCTCCTCCTCCTCGTTCTTGCCTGCCATATATCCTACATTCCACTCCGAAGCCACCTCTTCAATGTCGGAGTGGCCTGTGGTGTTGAAAGGCACTGAGAAATTCAGAACGTACCTTTCAAACAAAATTCTCAAAGAATTGACCCTGACGTTTGCCTGGGACAGTGGAATCAAACAATAGCCTCTGGTCGGCTGAAATCCAACCCCGCCCCCACCCCCACCCCCAAAAAATACCCACAATGGTCTGTAGTTGCAGTTTCTGCTTGGCCACACTATGCGGTATCGGTACTTACAGCCTCAGCTCTGCCTTGACTGGGTTGGAGACACGCTGGTAACACACACTGAAGAGGCCACAGGCCGAGGTCCGTGAGGTGAACCAATCACCGCCAGCCAGACGCTTCACCAGCGGCACAAAGTAACGCTCCAGATCGGATGAGGAGTGCTCCTTGGAGACGGTTCGCAGCGACTCCACCGCTTTGTCCCGTACCACTGTCTCCTCCACAGTGGCCAGGCTCTCAAGCGGAGGCTGGTATTGGGGGAGAAGGAGAGGCAGCATTAGACACAGCAGCATCCTGTCTCTTCCTACAGTGACCACCACCACTGTGTGCTGGAGAATGTGTATCGTCTGTATGGCACAGAGTCACTCTCATGGGGCTGATTGGCCTCCTCCTGTTCCTGTGTATCAGGCTTAAGGAGGGGGCTGAATGGTCTCCTGTTCCTGTCTGCCTGTCTTCATATTTTAGCCCCAGGATCATTCTGGTGAATCTAAGCTGCATCCACTCCCAAGATGAAACATCCTTCCTGAGATGCAGTGGCCAGAACTTAGACCAGGGCAGAGTATAAACTATCACTTCAATCCTTTTATAATCCAGTCACCTTGAGAAAAAATATGATATTACATTATCCTTTCGTTAAAACCATTCCTTGGAGCTGTCGTCTAGTATTTAGTGATTTCTTTCTCTGGTGCTAGCTGAAACTCTCTGTTGTCCCCAACACCTTCCCATCATTGAGACCCATCAGGGAATGTCAGGCACCTTCTTGGTACAACACAGGCTGGAGAAGATGCGCAAGACTCACCAACAAACAGTTGACATACGTTGGGCCTCCTACAAGGGGAGTGAACGATCCAAGTTGTTCAGCTAAGGCCAGCAGAACTTCATCCTCATCGTATATAGTATCTACAATAAGAAATGGGCAGGTTTGTGTTCAGTCAGAATCCACCCTGGAAGTTGTTTCCAGTTAAAATAGTAAAAACATTTTGTTTAACTTGCACGAGCATTAATTAGGTCAGACTTGCACACTGTGCACTGTTCAGGTCTTTGTATCCGTCAGTTAGGCCACACTCAGAGCACTGAGCATAGTTCCATGTCCCTCAGTTAGACCACACTCGGAGCAGTGTGCACAGTTTTGGTCTCCGTATCCTTCAATTAGACTACACTTGGCTCACTTTGCTCAGTTCTGGTCTCCATGTACCTTGTATAGACCACACTTGGTGCCTATGCTCAGTTGTGAATTCTACATATCTTGTTTAGATCACAGCTGGAGCACTGTGTATATTGTTCAGATCACAGCTGAATTCTAGACTTTGTATACATTTTGTTCAACTTGCACGAGTATTAATTAGATCACACTTGCACACTGTACACAGTTCTGGTCTTTGTATCTGTCAGTTAGACCACACTTGATGCACTGTGCAGCACTTTGGTTTTATGGAAGAATGTAAACGAAAGCACTTGTAAAAGATACAAAAAAAAAATTTGCACAGATTATACCAGAACTGAGAAGTTATAGCAGTAAAGACTAAGCTAAAGACTAAATAGGCTGGAGCTGTTTTCTTTGGAAAGCACAAGACTTGACCTGATCATCAATGTGAATGTGAGCTCTACCCAAAAGTCAGATCATTGGCTCAGTGTCTGCTGATGGTTCTCACTGAGATGTTTTTGTGGACCTTTATTGCCCTATTGCTTTCCATTGCCAGGGGCACAACGAAAAAGAACAGTCCCAGGTTGAACAAGATTTGAACCCAAACTCACAGATGCTCCAGTTATCCAGCCAACTGAACTAACCAGCTCCTGATAACTTGATAGAGGTCTTTAAACCGACAAGGGGTTTTGAGATAACAAGGTGTACAGCTGGATGAACACAGCAGGCCAGGCAGCATCAGAGGAGCAGGAAAGCTGACATTTCAGGTCTGGACCCTCCTTCAGATATGTTAGACATTGAGAAGTTGTTCCCAATTCTTGTGGGGGAGACCCGAATCTGAAGCAAT